ATTCACCGTCCCACTCTACCAGATGACTTGGTAAAATAATTTCAAGGGACACTGCTCAATAATATTAACAGTTCTGATCCCCAGAATGGGCTGAATTGCTATAATGTAGTATTCAAAGACAAAGTTGGATTACTTTTCCTCCAAAACAACCAGAGGATGCCTGTAGACGGTTCTCGATAGATTTCTGAATTAGTACTGATTTGTATTTGTCTCTATTAATTTCACGGATGTGCATTTTCTCCCTACTTCCCCAGCCAGACTGTAAGTTCCTTCAAGGAAGGAACTGTTTCATAATCCTGTTGCATAGTTCATTAGACATTTCACAGTTCTGAGCATATTACAGGAAGCCACAATCGAGGATCTCCCAGAAGAATCTGGGAGAAATATATTCCATCAAGAGACAGTGGCAACGTCCTTTCTTGGAGCAATTGGGGTAATCAAAACTTTTTTAGATTCCCAGGGGCATAAGCTATTAGTTTGTTCAGCCATGTTGAGATGGAACAAAGCTTGTGTTTGAGGCTTACTCTAAGAAAAGGAAATCAGACGTTAGGTTCTTCAAATCAGACATTTAATTGTGCAAGAATTATAAGTAAATAAATAAACTGAGCTACATGTACCCTTTGTCAGGGAAACATCACCCAGAGAACTTGGGATTTGGCAGAGTTCTGCCCTCTTGAAGTGTACTCTACATCCTCGAGGCCCAAATGAATTTAAGAGTAGTAAACACTAACTCTCACATCCTACCTCTTTTTTAATAATAAACTCTTACATTTGCACACAATTTTATATTTTTCAAAGTCTTTTGATACCCGTTATAAAGATTGAGCTCACGTTGATCCAAGGGGCTCGAGCAAGGAAACATACACCCAGAGAAATTCATTGACTTGCCAAATGTCAGAAAGTTCAGGGAAGCTAGGATAAAAAACCCAGAGGGCTTCTAGTACAGTATCATTCCTCCATGGTCATGCACTTCATTGACAATCATTCTTTGATGCAATCTGTTGACAATAATAGCTTGCGTATGAATTTCAACATACAGTTTACGAAGTACATGCTTTAGACTTTGCACATACCCCAGTCTAATTGTGTTAGCTCATTCTGGTTTTATTAAGCTCCCCAGATGCCAATGCATCTTCTTTCTTTTCCTCAGCCTTATTCTTGACTGTGGTTCATAACAACTTCTAGTTTATCATCTCCATCTTAGTCTGAATTTTTTTCTTGATTTGTGTTTCAGCAGGTTCCTTGCTTTTATACTGAAGTTATTTTTCACTTGTTTAGACCAATCCAAGTGTGTGTGTGTGGGAGGGGGGTGTATGTGTGCACTTCGACTACCATCTAGGGTTTGTTTACTTGGTTTTTGGCTTATTTATAATTTCTCTTCTTACAAAAATGTGGATGTTTTTGTTTTCAGGTAGTATCAACACATCCCCCAAGGAGTTATTTTTTTAATGATTCTATCTTAGCTTGAGTTATCCAAAAGCAGAAGCAGTTGGGTATGGGTAGTTTATTTGGGAAGTGAACCCAGAGAAAGTGAGTAAAACGAGACAAGAAAAGGAGAAAAGCCAATAAAGGATATGTCAACAGGTGGGTCATCAGTGTGGGCCACTGGGGCTGATCTCTCCTGAGAACTTTTTGAGAAAACATGAAATGTGCCTCAGCATCACATCCCTTTCCCTAGATACATACACACACACACACACATTCACACACACATACACTTCGAGGTAGCATCTGCTTGCTTTGAAGGTTGATCTCAGAGAAGAGGAACAAGGCCAAAGCCAGGAATCCAGATTGGGGCTCATATTTGTTAGAGAAGAAGGTCTAGAATGAGTCAATAAGTATAAAGAAAACTTGGCCAAAGCTAGAACAAATCCAGTTCTTCCCCCAAAGCCTAAGAGTCTCACATGGTGATAGAAATAGTCAACGCTGTTTTATGACCCAGGAAGAGAAATCTACCCATTCTCAGACTCAATCTTCAAACGGGGACAGAAAACACGGTCAAGATCAAAGAATTATTAAGAACTACTTAAAACCAACCCAAGAGTTGAAAACAAACTCATAGTGGAAGAAATTTAAAAATGAACTCAGCAAAATCATCTTTAAGATGTTCAACTTTAAGGAAAATAGCTTGTCTTGTCCCAATTTGGGCAAAGTTTTCTTGATACCTATTAGCTGGTGCTGGAGCTTCTGTCTGACTAATACAGCACCATCAGGGTTTCTGACCTTGATCTTTTTCCTGACATCTGAGACCCTAAGGGATGATAGGGAGCGGTAAATTTAGTTATTCCCAGTACCTTTTGCAGATAAATTATAATCTTGGGAAAGAATTGCCTTGTTAGGTTTCTCAGTAGTAAAGTTTTATCCCACAGCACCTATAGATCCTTACGTGAAGCCCCTTTCTGCTATTAGAGAGCCTATTGTTTCTAATAAGATGACTGGCTGAGAATCTTGACGTTTTCTTTTCTAGAACCTATGGAGGTTTCCATTTGAAGACTGACATTTATTTGTCCCCCGTGGAGCTCTAATTTTACTACAATATCTCATTGCCACAGTAATATAAATGTCAGTACTTGGGGGAAAAAGTGTCTGACAAAAAGCATCAAAATGAAAGAAAAATGCTGCCAAGAAGACAGAAAACTTTCCCTCCTAGAATTAACCAGAAAATGGTAACAAAGAAAGTAACCAGATGCTAGCAAGTGATTACATCCACAGGTAGTATTACACATAAAAGAACCTGGCCCAGTGATGTAATCTAAGGCATTTCGGGAAAATATGCTAAGTGTGAGCTCTGTCTTAGAGGACCCTAGATAAGCGATCACATGTTTGTTTCAGTTTCTAAATCTGATTGATTAAGACCTGAGCAGCAATCTATTGGGTAAGGTATTTTTCACAAACACCTTATGTAATCCTCATGAGAACTTTGAGGAATGAGCATTATTACCTTGATTTTACAGATGATAAAATGAAGCTCCAAAAAGTTAAATGACTCACCTAAGATCACACAGCCAGTAAGGAGTAAATCCAGGGCTTCCTCTGGGGTCTTGAGATCCAAATTGAATTCCCTTCTCTCTGTGCTAGGACTAGTTTCTACACAAAAGGGCAAAATTCGTTTGCATCCAGAAAGATTTAAGCAGACTTTTGTCCAAGTTGTCACTGAATAATTTTAAATCCAGATATAAGAAAAGGAAGAAAAAGAGTAGAAAAGGGAGAAAAATGGCAGAATGGATTTTTTTTAAGTTTGAGAACAGTAATGGTTTCTAAGCAGTTGAATTAAAGATAATAAGCAACTTTCTTAAAACAAACTTTCTTCACAATAGTGCTAGGTACTTCATTGTCTTTATCTGTCTTATTTATTCAAATTTCAGATCTTTTCATTTCTAACCCATTGCACCAATCACAAAGTAACTGGCATCAATTCTTAAATGGAAAAGTATTTATACAACATGAAATTCAGATCACCATATACTTGTAGAAGTGTACTGAATTTATCTAGAATTAAGTAATTCTTCCTACTCTCTGATGGGTACCTGTGGAAGGAAAATAAACTCTCTGAAGCCTTCTTTGATAGCTGTCAAGTAATGAAACTTGGCTGAGAATCATTTCTTGTATAATTGTCCCTAAGTTCTTCCATTTCTTTAATGACTTCAACATGAAAAAGAAGTTTTATTCTGGTTATTTTTAATGATAGAAAGCATCACTGAATAGTGACAATTCAATAGATGTGGTGCTTAATAGATGGAAAGTAAAAAAATTGCAGAGGAGACACCAGATTCTGAAAAATCCAACTCAAGGTATACTATAAAACTAAATTCTCTTTACTGCATCATTGCATCTTCCAAGGCTGTTATGCCAGAATCACATCTTTTCTTCGATTCCTCTACTCCTAAAGACTATAGTCACTGCTCAGTCATTTCACTTCCAAAATAATTTCCCATTAGAAATCACAAAAGAACCAGAGAATCTAAGAATTTTAGAGTCAGAAGGGCCCTCTGAGTTATGTCTGCTTCCATGATGCCTGGAAAGATAACAGTGAAAGCTATTTGTTACCACATGTATAAAGTTGGGATTTGAATTTCCTTCTTTTAAATACAGTGTGATTCAGGGATGGCAAATTACGGTGAACCTAGACTCCCTCTGACTACCCACACACCCAAATTCAGCACATTAGAAAGGAATGGAATAAAGGGACAAGAAGGGAGCAGATCCATAATCTCCTTACGTGTGATGAGTTACTACAAAGAACTGAATGGGGAGTGGATGTGTGTGTGTTCCATGCAGAGAAATACCTCTTGTAAGATGGCCATTTATAGGGGCCAGCCGAGTGGTTAAGTTTATGCATTCTGCTTCAGCGGCCCAGGGTTTCACCGGTTTGGATCCTGGATGAGCACCTGGCACCACTCATCAAGCCGTGTTGAGGCAGCATCCCACATAGCAGAACTAGAAGAACCTACAACTAGAATGTACAGCCATGTACTGCAGGGCTTTGGGGAGAAGAAGGAAAAAAAAAACAACAAAGGATGACTGGCAACAGATGTTAGCTCAGGGCCAATCTTAAAAAAAAAGAGAGAAAAGAAAACAAAGATGGCCATTAAGAGACACCATCGCCTTAAGTAATATTTTAAGTTGCTTATGGCTCTGCTCCCCCTTCCTATAGCATGTTGTTTCTGTATTGAGCCAGTTAATGAAAAAAAGTAACTTGTTGACACATGTTAAATGTGTGGTAATAAAGAAATGAGAAGAAAATAGTTTGCATAATCCAAGTCAACTCTCATATTTCAAAAGGAAAACAAAGAATATAAATTTCAATACCTCACCCAAATCTTCTGATCTTAGCTTCTCAAATAAAAGTGTATACCCCTCATGTACATTCCTTCCTCTCAAAGACTATTCTGGAATACTTCACTTTGATTAGCCTGCTCTCACCACAAAATGCTCACAGAATACACCTGCTGGGTATGCAACGTCCACATCAGATAAATGAGAATGTTTGTGAAGCTCACCATTTTGAAGGAGTTCGTCACCATTTGATCTGTTATTCCTGGAGCCAGATGCTTCTGTGTAGTCCTCAGCTGGATTCCTCCCTCTGCGGCCCTTAGCACGAAGAAAAGTCTCTCTATTCCTTCTCAGCACCACCACTGACATCTTGTTTCTCTGTCTTCACTCTTTGCCTTCTTTTTGGCTTCCTCCACTCCCCAAAGCAGCCATTACCCTCTTCTATCTGCCAGTGTGATGAGGCATGAAACCAAATTGACACATTACATTCCAACAGAGTCCATACTGATTGCCTGGTAACAAAATAAAAAACAAAATATAAACAATGCAGTCATGTTCCATTCTAGAGAACTTAGGTCATTTGTTGAATTCATGCAGGCTATGAGTTATCCTTTTCCAAATGTCTTCAGAGACTTCACTCCAAAATGTTAGAAAAAAAACAAATAAGCAGGGCTGGCCTTGCATGAAAGCAGTGGACCCCTCAGTGTGACTTGGGGCCCTAAAGGTGATGCTGGAGATTGGGGGAGGATAGCAGGGATCTGAACGAGGGAAGAATAAGTGCCATAGAATCACAGAGCTACCAGAAACTTCAGAAGTCACATGACCCACCTACTTAATTTTTACAGTTGAAAAAGTAGAGTGCGTAGACTAAGAGATTGCTCAAGATCACTTTGCTGTTTAGAAGCTGCCAAGAGTTAATCCTCCAATGTAACAATTTTTTGGTTTGTTTCTTTTCTCTAATTGCATTGCTTCTTCAAAAAAGGAGACATACTGTTCATACCACTCCAACTGTTTACCATAAACCATATAACCAGACTCCTGGTTTTTTTCACCCTAATAACTAGACTTTGCTTTTCACCCACTCCATGGCTGATCATCTTTTCTTATATCCGGGATACAGGTGACCTGCTAATCTTCTCATTTTACCTAGTCGGTTTAGTAGTTTGGGGAAGTAACTTCTGGCCCCTCACAGGGCTCTGACCCTGGCCCTGTATTCATTCACTCTATGCTTAGTCTTTCAGCTCAACACATGATGCCCCAAACTGCTCCCATTCTCCATCTTCAATTTCTTATCTCCCTTCACTCCATTGGGCCCAGAAATGAGTTAGATGTAGCCCTGCTTCCCTCCTCGCCCTCCCCCTCTCGAAGCTTGCAGAAAACCCCACAGGGTGGATAATATACTTGAAGGGATTCTGGACTAACGGCCCATATGGATCCCTTGAAATTGCACTTGGTACAACTCCCGGAGTACAGGCTTCTCCTAACAAGGACCTCCACCCAGCAGCCCAAAGATAAGCAGCATACCAACAACTCTGATCCCAGAACAAATGCCACAGAGGCCCACAGAAATCTGAGTTGCCACATCCTCAACAATTAATATTCTCTCAAAAATGCAATGTATCCCAAACTCTGACTGACTCTAGAAAAGCCCAAGTGCTTTCGCCTATTGCTGTCTCTCCAGAAAGCAGCTGGGGCCAGTAGTCTTCACCATATTTCAGCCCACCATACCTCACATTCCTGGTATCCTCTCTTATCTCCTACCCCTCTGTGATTTAATCTCTTCTATATCTTCTTCATTATCACTGCTCTGTGCTTCCTCTCCTTTGTGCCTTCCCTAACAATGCTTTCCACAGAATCTCTCCTCACTTTCAGTCACACTCTAGGCAAGTCCACAACTGCGTCACTCTGAATTGCTTTAAATTTAAAAGATTAAATTCAGAGACCGGCCCCATGATCGAGTGGTTAAGTTCGCGCTCTCCACTTCAGCCGCTCAGGGTTTCATCAGTTCGGATCCTGGGCGGGGACCTGGCACCGCTCATCAACCCATGCTGAGGTGGCATCCCACATAGCACAACTAGAAGGACCCACAACTAGAATATATAACTATGTACTTGGGGCTTTGGGGAGTAGAAGAAAAAGGAAAAAAGATTGGTAATAGATGGTAGCTAAGGGCCAATCTTTAAAAGATTAAATTCAGTCATTGCACTCTCTGAACACCTTTTACTCTTCCATTTCTCTCGCTCAGCCACCCTCCCTATGTCTGCTTTTTATCTTATCCAGATGCACCAGTCCAATGACTCTCTCAGCTTTCTTCCAGTCAGCCCTTTCAGTCTCACTTCCTTCCCTATCTGATGCTCTACTCTAAATATTAAAAAATGCAACACACAATTCCTTGGAAAGCCTCATCCATTCATATTGGGTGAGATTATACCAAACAGTTTGTCTCCAACCCAGATTCTTCTCTTAAACTCTAGGTCGATGCATTAAACTAACTGGCCTTTTCTTGCTGAGCACTTCATAGACACCAAAAATTCAACATCTCCATAATTAAACCAATTATTTTCCCAATAGACTTGTTCTCTTGAAATAGAGTGAGGTTCTGTCATGCATCTGAGAGAGAATGACCTTCATGTATACAATGACAATCGCCTGTTTAATAACCTAAACAGAAAATCCAAATTATGAAGTATGTTTCATAGCCGCCTTCCACTACTGCTGACACTTCAAGAAACCACAGACTCAGACGTCTAGACAGTTATCAGCAATAACTCTTAAGTAAGGCTGCTTTCAGACAATAGTGATGGAATTAATCAAAATGGTTGTAACTCTAAAAGCTACCCCTTGTCATCCATACATTGCCTGATTAACCAGATTTTGGGATTTTCCATTGTGAATCCTGGAAGACTTGCTCTATGATATGACCTGATAAACTTCCTTCACCTCTTTAGTCTGGCATCTCAGACACAGCTGGCCTATAATCTTTGCCGCAGGAATACATTCTGCTCCATCATCCAGCCCAAACCACACATTCCTTATAAGTTAGTTTTCTATGTCTGGTGACCCACCTAAGAAACCAATGTTCGCAAGTTTATTAATTACCTAATCTTTACTCATTCATTGCCTGAGTCCTTCACTAGAATATAAGCTCCATAAAGACAGTGACATCTTTATTTACCATATTTCTATCTTCAGTGCCTGGAACATTAGTTGGTGCATAGTAAGTGCCCAACAAATAAATATTTGTTGAGTACACAAAAAAAGTGATGGCTCTCAGGCTTCTAGTTGGCAACAGATGGTTGGAGAAGAAGTGAATAAAAGAATGTTGCTTTGGACTTCTAATAGCTTAAAATTAAGAAAGATGATAGATAAGAAAAATACTGGGGAGGGGAAAAAGTCAAAGTACAAATATGCATATTAAGCAAATAAGTACACCAAATACATAAGTATAAATAAGAGATTTGGTGGCAAAAAAAATTAGGAACATAGGGAACATGAAAAGAACTAAGTAGTTAATAAGGAAAAAGATTTGCTAAAAAAAAAATGTAGAGAAGAAGGTCAGGAACTAGAACAGTATCTAGGTAATTAAGAAATATAAAAGTTTGCATCCTTGAGGGGCTGGCCCCGTGGCCGAGTGGTTAAGTTCGCGCGCTCCGCTGCAGGCGGCCCAGTGTTTCGTTGGTTCGAATCCTGGGCACGGACATGGCACTGCTCATCAGACCACGCTGAGGCAGCGTCCCACATGCCACAACTAGAAGGACCCACAACGAAGAATACACAACTATGTACCGGGGGGCTTTGGGGAGAAAAAGGAAAAAATAAAATCTTTAAAAAAAAAAAAGTTTGCATCCTTGATAACAAAGCTCTTCTCGCTTGTGTATTGACTCTATTACAATGGTAATGATAACAGCTATCATTTTTTGAGCATTATGTGTCTTATACTCTGATAAATGCTTTACACACAGAACTACAAAGACAACACATTTTGGGACAATCAGGCAAAGAAAGCTGGGATGAAATCAACTGAGCTGGGCATGGATAACGAAAACTGAATGGAGAGAAAACAGATCTGGAGAATTCTCAATGGAAGATTTACCACTGAAAGTGTATGAAACTGAATTGTGTAACTACACTCCAGCACTAGGATTCTTCAAACTATAATAAAGTAGTTCATTGAATTCTCAATTGTGGACTAACTGTGATGCTGCCTATGAGCTACTAATCATTCGGCAATGTTTATAGCACCCCATTTTGTGAAAGGTAATGGGGAGACAGAAATGCATAAGACAAGTCTCTGCCCCAGATGCAGAGACCTGAAGGAAATTAAGTGATTAAGGGCACAAGACAACTATGCCTACATAGGAGTCCAAAGTGGAAGTGACTCCCTGACCATAGTAGAAATAATGGTAACATTTGGAAAGGACTTTTACATGAACAAGATCAAACATGAGCTTTTTCAGGAAGGGGAATCTGGGGGAGAACACCTTTTGTTTCAGCACCAAAGACAAACTCTGAGCACATGTTGTTGTCGGAGGAACTGAGGTTATCATGGGCTGGCTTTGTCAATCTCTCATCCTACATCTACAATTGCATCCCCTCCTTTCCTTTCCTCCAGTCTCTAGGAAAAGAGAGAACTTTCTCCTGATCTCAGTTTCTCCCATCTCCTTGTAGACATGGTTCCACTGATTGTTCATCTCCTCTTGCTACTATCCCTCAACCTCCCTACTATCTATAAACTTAACCATGTCCTTCCCATCCAAAACACATTTACTTGACCTTACACACCATCCATCCAAGATACTGCCCTACCTTTTATCTTCTCTTTGAGGTCAAACTTATAAAAGGAGCAGATTATCCCTACTGTTTCAATTCTGTCCCTTCGGGCCCCACCACTCTACAGAAATCACTCCAGCAAAGTCAACAAAGCCCTTTAATTGTCAAATGCAAAGCAATATTTTTAACGCTTATCTAATTGGCTACGCTCTCGCGTTGTTTCTCAAAGAGTTTTCCTCAGGATTCCAGTTCTGTGTGCTATTATTAACAGTAGTTACGGAAGAAGAAAGGGGAGAGATTCATGGTCAAATAAACTTTGGAAATTTGACTTTAGAAATTAAGATTTATGGGTTTCCTTACAGCAAGACTTCTCAGAGATATTAATATGCTAATTTTTTGTGATTTCGCAAGAGAAGTATGTAGATTTCAGCATTTCTCACACTTAGTTGATCACAGAATCTTTTTCCAATTACTATTTCATGGGAAGATTATTCCTTGGAACAGTCTATGAGAAACAGTTCTCCTGACACAGGCGGCCATTCCTTTCAATATTTGTACCTCCTTTGATTCCATGATACCTCACTTCTTGCTCTCCTCCTAGATCCTACCACTTCTCAGTCAAACTTTGCTTTCTCTACGCAACCTTTAAACACTGGTATTTTCCTTGTTTCTATATTAGCTCTTTCCTATGCATGTGCTTTTTGGATGATCTCATTTGCCATCCTGATTTTGTTACTTGCTATGAACTGATGATCTCCAGATCTATGTGTTTGACCAAGATCTCTCTACTGCATTCCAGGCCACGTATCTAAAGGGCTTCTTAACTTTCCCATTTGAATATATTCCAAGTATCTCTAAGAAAATAGGTCCCCAGACCCTGATCCTTTTCCTTTGTCTCTTATCATGTTGATGGGTACCAATATCCATTCAATCATGTAAGCTAGAAATCATCCAATACTTTTCCCTGACTTCCCCTTCACATATTATGTCGCCAAATTCTAGAGATATCTAAACTATCTAAATCCTATAGGCACCTAAACTATCCAAGTTTCTTCATTTATTGAGGAAATATTTACTGAATACTTACTACAGACCGGGTATCAGTCTAAGTGCTTTAGATATAACATGAAACAAAATAGATAAGATCCCTTTTACCATGGGATTTATATTTTGGTAAGGAGAACATAAACCATATACATGTGTTATAGGCTGAATGTGTCCCCCCAAAATTCATATATTGTAAGTCCTAACCCCCAATACCTCAGAATGTGACTGTACTTGGAGGTAGGGTGTTTAAAGAGATAATAAGTTAAAATGAGGTCATTAGTTTGGGTCCTAATTCAATATAACTGGTGTCCTAACAAGAAGGGGAGATTAGGACACAGACATGTACAGAAGGAAGATCATATGAAGACCCATGGAGAAGATGGCCACCTGCAAGTCCAGGACAGAGGCCTCATAAGAAACCAACCCTACTGACACCTCGATCTTGGAGTTCTAGCCTCCAGAATTGTGAGAGAATAAATTTCTATTGTTGAAGCCATCCAATCTCTAGTATTTTGTTTTGGCAGCCTTGCAAAATAATATCGTGTAAACAAATTAAAGAAAATTTTAGAGGGTGAAAAATGCTATGAAGGAAATAAAACTGAGAGATGTGACAGCAAGGATAAATGCTCGGAGGCAGGGACCAACCTAGCACATTCTAGGGAAGGAAGAAAAACCAGAGAAGGGAAAGATGACAGGAGATGAGGTCAGAGAGATGAGCAGGGCCAGATCCCAAAATGCTTTATCCTTTGCCCATTTTTCTACTTGAGGCTTTCATCTTTTTTGCATTGTCTTTAGGATGGTTTGAATGTTAATGATATTAATCGTCCAGGTGTTATGGCAGTCAAACTCAGCCATCTTTTCCTCTATGGATTCTGAATTTAGTGCTGTGCTTAACTGATCCTCTTTGTTATCCTAAGATTATAGGAATATCCATAATGCTGGAGACCAGGACAGGTTAATTCACTGTCTCAAACTCTTCTCTGAGTTGTAACCATTGAGTAAATCCACACTGAGCAAATTGGGGAGCAAATATTTACTAATGAAGGCCCAATAACTCCCTTAGTACAGACTCCCTTGCTAAAATACTCAGCTTGGACCTGAGGCTAAAATGGGGCTTTCGTAAGTCCAGAGCTTGGGAGAATCAAGTCTGTCAAGAGGACCACATGAATTTTTACCCAGCTGCTCCATAGGCCCAGTAACAGTAGGACAGAGAAGCCAAGAAAGCCCAGGAGAGTGAGGGTGCCTCTGGGCCTGCTTCCAGAAAGCAAGCTCCAGCTGTGAGTCGGCTGCAACTCTTGCACAAAGGGAGGGGGAGGGAGCACTCTGTCTTTACCTACCCAGGTTGTAGTTAGTGCCCAGAGAGAATGTGAGGTCTGTTCCCTGCTTTTAAAGAAACCCTACCCTCTCAGACACCAGACCCAGCCCAGAGGACATCAGACTCTTCTCTATAAGATTAGCTGCTCCTCTTCCCTTGGAGAGGAGCATGTAAGGGGTGGAAAGCAACACAGAAACTCCCCTCAGGTACTTCCCAGAAAGGATAGAAGGGTTGGTGGGACTTCCTTTCCATATGGGCCACAGAGGAATATGGAGTGGGGAAGAAAAGAGTCTCCCACTAGAATCCACCTAAATTTTCTGTTATTAATTTCAGAAATCATCACACTGTCAGGTTTTATACTGATTAAAACATGCAAATATATTCACCCCACTCCTCAGCAAAGCTGAGGTTGCATGGCAGGCTAAGGCTGACGGATGAGAAAAGGTTATGAGCCATCCTGAAGGGCCTTTTCTATAAGCTAGGTCACACTGGCTATTTTAAAAGACTGTGCACATAGTTCATCACAGGCCCTCAGAATCTGCCTGAAACAGAAGTAGACTTGGGCTTATTTTGTTCATCAGCAGCCATAGCCAGAATAGCAACAGCAGTAAACATCCATGGACTACCTACTGGGCACAAGTTGTGGGGTGCGGGGCGGGGGAAGAATATACAGTTCTGTCCCCAACTTCAAGGTCTAGTCATGGAAATCACTGTGCCCAGGACATGCCTTGTTTATAGAGTTTTCTCTTCTAAGTGGTAGATTTTTATATCAGCAAACTTATTGGCTTTTACTACAAGATGAAAAAGTTTAAGGAAATTTTCCAAATAGTTATCTGGTTCACAGGTATAATAAAAACCCATATGGTAGGCAGAATTCTAAAGATGTGTCCCCAAGATTCCCATCCCCTGGTTATTCAACACTAATCTAGATACTGCTGGGATGGGATTTTACAGATGGAATTAAGGTCACTAATCAGCTGACCTTAAAATAAGAAGATTATCCTGGATTATCTGGGTAGGCTTAATATAACCAGATGAGCCCTTAAAAGCAAAAGTGAAGGGAGAAGAGTCAGTTAGAGAGATGCGGCAGAAAAGGTAAGCAGAGGTGAGATGAGGCAGAAGGGGAGGGTCAGAGAGATTTGAAGCATGAGAAGGACTCGACCCTCTTTGCTGGCTTTGAAGATGGAGGAAGCGGGCCATGAGTCGGGGAATGCAAGTGGCCTCCTGAAACTAGAAAAACCTCTGACAAACTGCCAACAAGGAGACAGATGCCGTACTCTAACAACTACCCACAAATGAATCTGCCCAAATCCTGAATGGGCCTGGAAGCAAGCACACGCCCAGAACCTCCAGGTGCTTGCTGAGTCCTTGAGTCTCGGTTCTGTGAGATCAGAGCAGTCTTGGATGCTGTGACTGGGCCTCTGAGCTACAGAACTTTGAGATAATCAATGAGTGTTATTTTAAGCCACTAAATGTGCGGTAGTTTGTTACAGCACAAATAGAAAAACTAATACAGTCCAAGAAAGTCATGATATCATGAGGCTAACAAAAAGAGAAGCTGACTAGAGAAGGGAGCAGAGGGTAGTTGAGTATCCCTTTGCACAAGGTTGTTTCAAGGGCACTGAGTTTCAGGTTAGTTAGTACTTTTACGTTTCCTTTAACAAGTTTTCCTGTCTCTTTCTGGACTCAGTGCTAGAGAGAGATGTATTTTCAAAGGATTTAAATTAAGCAGGGCCCCACCACCATCCTATCCTGTACCTTTTTAAAATAACAGGATGCCTGTCAAGACAAAATTAAAGAAGGGTGTCCTTTGAGGATTTTGATCTATGACATTACTATTCTTCCAAATATTCAGTTCCCGTTTCTGTGGTGTCCTTCCCTGCAGGATTATATATCACCCTCCATGACATCAGGCTCAGCCATGTGATTTGCTTTGGTCCATTAAATGCAAGCAGAAGTGATGTTTGTCACTTACAAGCAGAAGCTTTAAGAGCCAACATGTGGTCCACTGGGCTCTATTTCCCTCTCCCATGAGTCTGGCGATGCCCCAGATAGATACAACACCATCACTCTGGGGCTCACAGTGAAGACAACATGGAGCAGAGCCTCAACTGACCAGTGATGGAAATGCCAATTGAGCAAGAAATAAACCTTCATTGATATAAGCTACTTGGATTTGGGAGTCATTTGTTACCACTGCATAACTTAGCCAAGCTGACAGATACAGGTGTGGTACTAGAAATGCCAACCTCTTTAACATCGGGGCATCAGTAAGAAAGACCACCTGAAGCAAACCTTTTTGTTCAGGGGGGATACATGTAAAAGGTTCCTCTTGGTTGTGCAGAGACAAGTTAAATGACATCGTCTAGGGAGGGTAAATTGCTTTGATTAATAAGTGTATTAGTTAAGGGAGGATAAGCTCTTCCACAATAACAGATAGACTCCCAAATCTTAAGAACTCACAAAGTGAAAATTTGTTTCTCATGTTCACAAGGTCCAGTGCAGGTCAGCTACTCTCCCAGAAGGATGTCCTCTCAGCAGTGGCTCAGGGGTCAGGCTCTCCCAACTTGTGCCTCGACCGTCTCGGAATCCTTTACTTCCAGGCACACTGATAAGAGAAAGATTGCATGGAAGATCTCACAGGAATGCTTTTATGGCAAGGCCCGGGAAAGGTATGGCATGTGGGCCCAAAATAAAATGGACTTATGAATGGTTGCATTTTATCTGCCACAATGAAGCACTATTTTTACAGAGGAAGGATATGAAAGACATGTTGAATTTTGAGTGGCTTTAAAAGACTGTGCAGCCATTTGGGTGGAAAGATGGGGCTTGTTGACTCTGTCTTTGAGGTAGGTAACAGTTATTGGAACCCAGCTAAACCTTTCGGTGTTGGTCAGCTTGTGGCCCAGCATGTCTGTGTGTGTGAACCAAAAAAGCTTTCTGCTAGAGCCATATCCATAGGGACCAAGTGTGGATGAAGAACCAATGCAGAAAATGGAGGAGTCTGGACCATGAAGGGCATCACTGCTGCCGTGAACAGGCACTGCTCAAGATATGCGCAGGACTGGTCTTTAGCAGCAATCCTGAGTGGTGGTGGGCAAGAGTCTGACAAGTTCTCTCGATACCTAGCATTGGAAATGGGGTGAGTCCCTTTTTGCACCAAGTAAACCCTGAAGTTCCTGGCAATTTAAGTAGGAGAGCCTAAAAAGAGAAATTTTGGACTTCTTGCTGATAAAATGTATAGCGGTTCAAGCAAATAATTAAAAAGCAAAAAGATGTCTCATGTTTGAATAACAAGTTTGTTGAGCAAGTCATTCTGGTTAACAGACGAGGAGGACACTATAAAGATGATGGACAATGGAGAGGAAAGAGAGCTTCAGAATGAAAGAAATCTAACAAGAAAAAGTAAGCAATTTCTGATCAATAACCCCTAGCCCTGCAGCGATGTGAGTCAGCTGGCCAGAGCAGTACCCACTGAAAGATGGATAGTTTTGTGCGAGGTGATTCCACTTCAGAAACTCAGGGCCTAGAGAACAGAGCAGCATTTCTCCTCTGTGTATTGAGTGATGGGCGGGGGTGAGAGGACACCCTTTCAGTACGTAATTAAAGCACTGTGCAGCTGTGGGGGTGTTTGATCAAACTTCTTACATAAACAGGATCTACATGTGAGAACACTTTCAAAGGTTGAATGTAAAGCTTCGCTAGAGACAGAGCAGCAGCTGGGCAGCCAGCCAACCACTCATATAGGACTGGGACTGATCTTCTGAAGCCCACGGGGCTCCTCGCAACCTCCCTCTTTGCTCAGCCCACTCAGACACAAACCTAAGTGAGGTGCTTCTCACCTGTGGGTTGCCCCTACGCAAACCCCAGCTGCACATCTGATCTAATCTGAAGAGGCTTTTCATATAGAGAACACACTCACTCAAACACATCTCCCTCATGGGAAAATGGCATTTCTGCTCAAGAGCATGATTTTCCCTTGGGAACTATCAAATTATTTGCTCTCACTAAAAGGGTGGAATCATGGACTTGTGAAGAAAGTTGACTGCTACCTCTATCTGTTCATCAAATCAACTGTTTGACCAAAGGGGTCTATGATTATTGTGACCACCTGGTTGTAACCCAGGACTCCTCTGCCCATGATGGGTAGCAATTACAGTGTCTTTGATCTCCTCAGCCCCTCCACTTTGTTGACATAGGCTCCAAACCCCCCAGTCTTATCTTTTCCCTGGTATCCCAGGGTCTCCTGTTCTGCTGAATGCACGCTGACCTCTCTCACTGTGGGCTCTATCCTTACAGTTATTGTCCTGCTCAACACAAGTGTGACCACTTGGCAGTGGGACCTTGCTCCCACCAGAGCTAAGAGACCAGCTCTTGGCAGCTGTGAGCCTCACTATTAAGACTCTTACTTCCCCATCCCTGCCATTACAGATTCTCTGCTCCAGCTCTGAGTCAATCCACATAGGATGCCTGGTATTTTTAATTCAGTGTTCTTTGCTGAAGAGCCAGGGAAATGCTCCCAAAGACTAGTCCAGAATGCCTGAGAGTGACACCATCCTGAGATCAACTCAAAAGTGATCCTCCTGCCTAGGTAAATAGTCTTCCTTTACATTGTACAAAGCATAATGCTTAGCTCTAGGGATGAAAAGATGAATAAGACACTATCCCTGTCCTGAAGAAGCTTTCTGCTTCTGGGGTACTCTTGCTTAAATTTGGTAGACAAACAAGCCAGTGAGCAGGCAGCTTCTTGAGCAAGCATGGTGTTACAGATGTTCGAGATTACAGTACAGTGTAAGGACAGTTCTTGGTAAACCATAATTGTTGGAAAGAACCAAGGAATTCCCCAGCTGGGATTAGGGGTAGCACCTTCTGAAGCCTTACTGTGGATTCTTTTGATTGAGCTTGAAGGAAAGGGAAAAACAGATTGTTCATTTGGTTATTTGGTTTTCCCTTCTGACAAGTTGCCAATTCACTGCTTTCACGAAGAATTTGCTGTCCCAAGGCATCTATGCATTCTGTGTAGCTCCCTAGAGAGTAACAAATCTAACTACAGACAAAACGAGTCTTCATGAAAAGCAAAAACTTAGCTGAAGTAATCACATTGTATCAGCATGCAAGTACATAACCTTGAGCAATAAACTGTAAAGGCTGAAAGCAACAATGATATATTAAGTTAATATTACAGAGACGCTTTCAAGTAGTTTAGTCCTCACAATACCCCTGGGTACTTTATTACAAAAAACACCTAGGTTCTTCAGAAATTTCCCAAGGTCAACTACAGAACCAAGAAAGAACCTCACTTTTACAATATATGCATATTATAAACCTGGGGAATACTAAAGGGTGAACTCAATCTAAAACCATTCACCTCTCTTCCTTTATTCCTCCTACCTTTTTAAGATATAGGTCTTCTTAGAGAAATAGGCATTTTTGGAAGGATGTGGCTGCAGATGAACTTGAGTAACCCTGAAGTTTTTTGTTGTTGTTGCTGTTGTTTTTTTGGTTTTTTGGGAAGACTTCTGAATATGTCAATATTTTCCTAAACCAAATGGAAAGCAAGAGGAGTTATGGATATAACTAGGAGGAGAGAGCATGGTATTGATCAAAGGTGGTAAGACAAACAGATTTCTCAAGCTTACAAAACATCCCTGGACTGTTGATCTTTGGAATTCAACTGCAAGGCACCCTGGTGTGCAGCTTAGAGTTTATCCATTGCTAAGTAATTCTCCCTAGACAACATGGGGTCTCTGGTAGGCCATATTTCAGCTTCCCCAATTACAGTTTCTCTACTCCCTTACCACAGGTTTCTTCCATTTAATACAGAATACTCTACCTTCTACTATAAGATAAAGGTCAGAGTCAAAACCAAAGAGTTTCACAAAAACAATAACCACTTGTTCCCCACAACCTCTTTCTGCCCCATAACCTCCCCAAAGGAAAAAAAATGCAAGAAGGGATCTTGGTTTGAATGGAAATTGATTAAACGTTTTTTTTCCAGTTTCAACAACTATTTTTTTAAACTCTTGGTTTCTAGTGACCTTTCAAACACAGAATAATTAAATGCAGAAGTTGTTATAATTGAAAAAGCTAAATTTAAAAGTCATCTAACAATTTTGCCAACTCTTATCTATGGAGCATACAAGACCCTGAAATTTCAGAGATTCCTTGCCCCCTACCGGCATTGCCATACCTTGCCAAGGATGCTGATGCACTCTAAGTAATGAAAGAACTGTGACTCACAGCCCAGAAATTTCTCATAAGAATTTTATTCTACCTCTAGAAACCTAGAGGGGAATGTTCCAGAAATGTGTTCAGCTATAGCTATATAGATAAATATAGATAAAGCCTTCTCATGCATCTCCAGTATTTCTCAGCTGTCGATACAATTATCTACAGCTGAACGTGGTTCATATATTGCGCACGCACACAATCGGATTCTTCTGCCTGTATATCCCTCAGCACTCCAGCCTTTTGGAACAAAAGTTTTTTAACTACTCAAATAAAGTGGCAGAAAGTACCCAAGTTCCAAACTGAGAGAATTCCTCACGCATAGGACAGGGAAAGAGAACAACGTCCATTCCCCTCCTTTAGTCCATTCTTCAGCCTTTTTCTCTATGACTACTACCTGACTTTCAACTCTTAGGCCTGCTCTCCTCTTCCAACACCACCTTGCCCGCACGAAATGTCAATCTTCTTGTTTTTACTTCCTAAACCACCACTAGCTTAAAGCTGTTGTGTGTAACAAAAGCTTAATGAAAACTTAGGAAGGTGTACAGCAAAGCTGAGGGAATTGTAGAAATATTAGTCATCACCATCCTAAAGTTAAATGAACACCTCCACCACAGATGATGGGCCGCCCACCAAGGATTTCCTCAGGCCCCCTATTGGATGCCCCTCCACGGATGTTCCCCCATCTTTCATTTTCTGAACCTCTCTCCCAGGCTACCCATGTAGCCATGTAATCCTTTGACTGTTATCCAGGGTAATTCACCTCTCCTTTGTTTCCCGCTCTCTCCCCAGGACATTCACCAAAAGGACCCACCAAGGTGATTTTTCTTAGCAAAACACTGTTGACTTAAGATGGATTTATGCTATGCCCAGGGAAGACAGAAATGGCTATAGTTGGTTTCATTTCAAGTAACATGCTTTTTCTTTTTCACTACACACACTCTCACACACACACCGCAAAAAAGGAAAGCTCTCAACTTCACTAAATTCTGCTTGTCAGGGATAATCTGTTTAATAATTGAATATATATTTAGTAGTTGGATATATATACATATACACATATATATACTTCAGTGCTCGTGTGGGTGCATTTGTGTGCGTGAGTGTTGTATAAGATTGTTTTTAATGATCAGGTCCTACTTTACAATTAAAAAATAAAAAAGGAAAAGCATTGTTAATAGAAACAGAAATCTGGGGCTAGTCTTTCTTCTTCTCTTTCCCCACATCACATCCATCTGTAAGTTCCACCTCCAGAATATCATGTTCCACCCACTTCTCTCTTTCTTCACTGCCGCCACTCTTGTTCACGACTCACCGCTTCTAACTGGGATATCACCATAGCCTCCTGATGTGTCTCCATGCTCTCAACCTTACCATTTA